AAGGTGCAGAGTCATGTGCTTAGGTTTACACGAGCACTCAGATGCTCAAATGATATTAAGTTACTGAATTGTGGATGCTTTTAGCTGATAGACAATTCTTCTGATGAGAAGTTACCTTCTGTTACAAAGCTGGATATTGTTTTGGCTGTCTTGCTAAGCAGGTGTGAGTGGTGGGCCTTGCTTTTTCTTGGGTCAGGTGAAGGCTTGTAGATACAGACTACTGAATTATTGTAATTTCCATATCCAGAAGTGGGGTTAAAGAGGTGAATGTAGTTACAAATTATTATTTCTGGCAAAAATGACTTCCAAAGATGTGCAGTAAAATAGCCTTATCTGCACCAATTCCAAACTTGTAATCCTTGAAGTTTAAAAGAAAAAAAATTGAGGCCAATATTTACTGCCTTAATTTTGTAACACTAGTCTTTTGTCCCTTTCAGGTCCTGTCCATCTAGCAGTCTTTCCCTCTCTCATTATTACTGTTGTTCTCAAGAGAGCGCTAAACTCATAAACCATTAATGGCTAAATACCAGCCATTGTAGAGAAACAGCAAAAGATGAAAGGCTGGAGAAGAATTGGGGAAACTTGTAACATTAACCCAACATCACTGCCCAAGGGAGAGAACACTAATGGATAAAAACCGAAAGCACAATCTTGGCTTGGTCTAAATCTTTGTATTTACATCCAGAATCACTGAGATCAGAGCATGTTTGTCTGAGGGCAGTTGTAACCATATAAAGGCTAACAATATTGTTAGTGATAAATAGCAGTGAGTTTATGAAGCAAGAATACAGCAGACAATAACCTTTCTTGATACAATTAGATAATTAGCGAGCAAAAGTATGCAGTGAATAGACTGACTCTGGATCATGCATGGGTTTTTGACACAAAGCTGTGCAAAATCTTATTAGGGAAATTAGATCAAATTGGGTTTGATACAAATCCTGTGAAATGAATCATGGATTACATGACAGAGTGTAAACAGAAGGGTTAGAGATATTCTTTAGCCTTCTGCAAAGGTGATGTTCAAAAGGGCAGTGTTTTGACTGTAAATATTCATTAGTGGAGGAAAATGTAAAAGCAATCACTCTCAAATTTACAGTTAATAGACCTGAGAGGTACTAGAAAAAAGATCAGAGTGGAAAAAGAAGAGCTAGCCTGAAAAACTGAGTGTTATGAACAGGCTTTGGTAAAACAAGTGGCAATTAGCACTGTGTAGTTTAAAGATGATACTGGATCTACTTTGGAACAAGGAGAATCTCCAAATTTCATGTTGCGCAGAGCACAGTGGCAAAAGCAGCTTATGTTCAGAGAGGTCCCGGTGAGACAGTAGCTATCAAATGATGTGAGCTGACGTGCAACCTGATGTCTGGCAAAGCTACTGCTCAGTTGGTCCATATGTCTGCCCGGCTGTGTGCTTTCCAGAGTGACTCTCCCCTGTAGTGCTGTGGCATTGCGCTGTGCAATTCGGGGCACCTTGCTGCAAGAAAGACCCAGGCTAGTTGGAACAAATCCAGAGAAGGACCACAAAGATGCTAAAGGGATTAGAAAGAATGACCTATGATGAGGAAAGGTGAAAAGAACGAAATGTTTAGAACCTTTAAGCCTGTTACATGGGCACAGAAATAGTAACGGAGTTTCCTGTGCCAGCACGGAGGAGAGTTGGATCAAGTCTCTCTCCTTTTACATTCCTATTAAGGTAACTAGAGCCGAGCAAAATGACTGTTCATCACTTTGAACTCTTTGCAAGAAACATTTAGCTGTTCTTCTTGAAGTTCAAGATGTATCTCATTGCCAGGGGACACTCTGACTCTGTTTAAAAATCAGCACGGGATCTCCATGAGACTTGCAGAAAGTCAGAGACCAGAAAAGAAAAACACAAACTCTGAAATGGCTGAAGTCACCTTAGCTATAATTTTTGATCTGTCTTGGTATTAAGGGCTTCTGCCTCTCAAGCATGCATTCAGGTCTAACCAGCACTTGCTCCCTCCTGGAAGGGAACAGGAGGGTCCTCAGCTGGAAGGATGTAGGGGGTTTGTTACTTACTATCCCTGATTCACTATCAAACAGTCACTGTTTGCATGCCTTGGGAAGGAAAGCTCCTTAATTGAAGTTGTGAGTTGAGAAGACTGATATACCTTCCTTTTTTTTTTTCCCCTCCACTGGAGGGAAATATCTCAGTAAGTCCTGGGCTATTTAAGCAACAGAAGCTGGAATTTGGACTCGTCTGATGGAATTTGCCAGTACAGCTCATCTCCTTGTCATGCCTTTTTTGTAGTGTTGTCCTCTGTCTTCCTTTAAAATTACAATTCCAGCTCCTTTTACTGTGGAGTTCCTCAGTGCTGAATAGTGTTTTATGGTTCTTTTGCCTTCCATGTTGCTGTGTCCTGTGATCCTTATCCTTTACCACAAATGCACTTCTCAGGTAGGGAGAGGCTCCAGAACAAGGTCAGCACAGCAGCTTTCAGCTTTTCTATGAGATGCTAAGATCCACTCTCAGTTAGCAAAGCTTCGTCTTTGTCCACATGGTCAGCTGGCATTACCTCAGAAGTTCTGCAGTCTGTCTAGGAGCCCTGGGGGATTACAGACGAATGCACCTGCAGCAATTATTCCTGTAACTGCTCCATGACCTCTAGTTCGGTGTGGCCCTCTGGGCAAAAGCATGGGTATTTATCAACTCATCACAATGTCTCTGAGGTGGACCAAACTCTGGATTCCTCTCAGGTAACACCAGGCAAAGCAGCCGAGGAACATGAGATGCCTGCCCATACTCTCAAGGTCAACAGGCTTGCCAAATAACAAACTTGACTGATCGATCCCAGAGATAGGAGATGAGGTCAAACATTGAGGATGAAACAGAGAAGGGAGAATTAGGAGATACTTGGGTCAAGTGAGATCATAAGGATGCAGGATTGTGAATTTGCTGCATATCAAACATCTATATTCCTATCAACAGACACACAGATGTGATATATATATGTGTGCACTCCAGCCTTGCTGATTCACAGAATATTTTGTCCTTGTCCCCTGACATGTTTGACCTCTTGGCAGAAGGAGTTGCCACAAATACCAGATAAATAGGCTGAAACTGAAATAGAAATAGAAATTACCCACATGACCATGGTATGGTAACTTTAAACCAGCAGAGCTTCCAAAGAGAAAAGTCAAGCATCCTTAGTCAGTCAGAAATCTTTGGCCATGTCATCAGAAAAATGTATGTGTTTAGTTTTTCTTAAAGCCTTTGACAAATTATCTTGCTGAAGGGAAAATTTAACCTCTCAGGTTAATACTATTATCAATTAAAAAGTGTCAGAGACTGAAAGAAAGGGTAGACATATCCTACCCAGAGAAGAAAGAGAAGTCAATTTTCAGCATGATAAAGGTTAACACGAATCACCCACAAAGATCAGTATTGTGGTGTTTGATCCATGTGTTAATGATCTGGGAAGTGTGTGAACAATGAGACTGCAGATGACATCAAATTATCACGAAAGACTGAAGAACTCCAGAGGATCCTAATAAAGCTGAGTGTGTGGACTGCACAGCACAGTGGTAGATGAGATACGGTGTTGACCATTGTAAAACATTGCACAACAGAAGGCAATAATTTGATTTTTCATACATCCTAATGGATTCTAAATTAACTGCAGTGACTCAGGAAAAGATGAGGATTGCAGTAAGTAACTTTCTGATATTCTCTGCTGAAGAAATGGTAGCAATTTAGATTTTAATTTAAAGCAGGAAAAAAAGCAAACAGTGTAAGAAGTTTATATAATAGAGAGGCTGAAAATAACACTGAAAATATTGTAACATCACTACGTAATTGATGGCGTGCCTTTGTCTTTACTGTTGTCCAGACCTTCAGCTGGAGAAGTGATGGAGCAGTGCCAGTTTCATGCTGCTGAGGAGCTGGCTCATTGAACTCTGTTCTGGACCGAACAGAAATAGCCAGACTAGAGGAAGTTCAGAGATGGATGATGAAGCAGATAAGAGATGTGCAAAACTTCTGCATGAAGAGCAATTATATAGATAATGAAGAGCTGAATGAGGAGAACATGGCAAAACTACATTTCCTGAGGAGAGTCAGGACATGTTCAGGGAGTCTCAAAGGCTGCAAATACATTATAGGCAAATAAAAGTGGTGTTTTTTTTTTTTTACTTGTTTGTACACTGTACAAATAATCCCTGGAACTCATTGCTGTAGATATCATAAAAATTAGCAGTGTTCTAACAAAAAAGATTAAACATTTATATAAGGAATAAGACAATCTGTGAACTAAACTAAATAAGAATAGCTTGCAAATTTGGTAAAGATTCCATAAGCGTTAGAGTATAATCATCTCTTTAAAAAGGGGGAATTTGCGTGTCCACGCAAAAGCCCAATACTAGTAAATAGAAGAAAGATTAAGATTTAAGATTGAGCCAGAAGAAATTTTTGATCAGATTATTTTCCTTTATTTTCTAAGCTCCTCTTTTAGTGATGCTAGTGTGCTGTAGAGTGGAGGGTACAGTGGGGGGAGAAGACAAATTCAACTTGAAAATTAATCAAAGACTTCTGTATTACAGATGAAAAGTTGAAAATCCAGTCTGAACAGGTCCTTTCTGCGTGGTTTGTTCCAGAACTTTTTGCTTAAACCAGGGCAGCATATTCTCAACTAACCAAACATCTTTTTCACCTGGCCTGCCACAGGCAAGCTGATTTCTTTCTGGTGTCTCAGGGGTAGATTGTGCCTCATCAGCACTGATGCCCCTTCCCAGCACTGCATCCTGTCAACAGCCTGATAACATGATCTACACGAATATTCTTGTCTTTATTCTAATGTGAGTTTGTGGGGAGCAGGTGGGCTATTGTATTGATGTTCCTGAAGAAGAACCTGGATGGGGTTGAACTGTCTGAGCCAACTGGAGTTGAACTGAGGTGGGAAAAAGAGGGCTCTCTTTTGACTAACCTGGAGCTAGGTTTGTCCAGGAGGTCACTGAGTGCCTTTGCTCTCTCCCTGCAGGCTGCTCGGCAGAATGGCCACGGAGGAGCGGCACCTCTCCTCCAGCTGCGGGTCCTTCATCAAGACCGAGCCCTCCAGCCCATCTTCTGGCATCGACGCCATCAGCCACCACAGCCCGAGCGGCTCCTCTGATGCTAGCGGTGGCTATGGCATCACCATGGGTGGCCACCCCAATGGCCTAGACTCACCCCCCATGTTCAATGGCACGGGGATTAATGGTGGGTCCTGCCGTAAGCGTTACGACGACTGTGCCAGCGCCATCATGGAGGACTCACCCACCAAGTGCGAGTACATGCTCAATGCAATCCCCAAGCGGCTGTGCCTGGTGTGTGGGGACATTGCTTCTGGGTACCACTACGGCGTGGCTTCCTGTGAGGCATGCAAAGCCTTCTTCAAGAGGACTATTCAAGGTACGGTGGGAAGGAATGGAAACTTCAGCATTCACTCCATAGAAGTAGAGGGCCACGATCCCAGACGTTGCTGAGACTGCAATGTCGCATAAAAGGGGGAAGGGGAGAGTGCATGCAATGTACCTGAGTCTCCATCTTTTTGTATGCTTCCTCTCTTCCTAATCAGCTCTGGTCCTCCCAAATGAACATGGACACGAAGTTAGGCTATGTGGTGATAGGAACCTTTGCCAAGTTCCTAGCCTGGCTGGCTTTCATTAAGATGCAGCTTCTTTGAAGATAAAAACCTAGTCACTGAAGAAGATAAAGATACCCTGTTTGTGTCAGTCTTACTAAGGATGAGAAAATCCTCAGGTGATTTTGAAAACCTCAGTGTATGCATGAATAGTTGAATTGCAGTGCATTGCTCCTGCATGTACAATTCAGATATGAGGGGTATGGCTGTGTCCTGACTGCCAAAGGTGTGCTTGCAGATATGCACGTGCACAGCTACAATATAGCCAAAAGCAGTAGTGCATCCAGGTAACCTCCAATACCCGTGGATCCTTGGGTGCACTCGCTTACGCGTGCCCCATGTGAACGAACATGGCTGGGCATAGAGATGCTCCCTTTATTTCCTACTTTCTCTGACTGTAAAAAGGACAGGATCATTCATCTTCCAGTGGAAAGTGTATTCAGTTCACCCAACTAAGGTGGGTTGACTGGAGACAGGTGTCCCGTGAGCAAGCAGCTGTTCGTGTACTTGGCTGTTGGCTGGGGTCAATCCACCACGCCAATACTGCCTTGTCTCCTGTGAAATGAAACAAATGCACATGTGGAGAGAGCACTCATTTTGTTATTTAAATGAGTCTCATTGCACTCTGTTTCTGGGGATGTTCACCTCTGGAGCAGACAGAGCAGTCCAGGGTGCAGTTCATCCTAGGTCTCTGCAAAAGTCACAATTTCTAGCTTGGTTTCTTAGATTTTAGGTATCTCTCCTTCTATTATCCAGCTGTGGAAATAATCACTCTTCCCCACTGACATTTTCTTCTTTATTATGCCATGTGGAAATCAGTACCATCTCTAGGACATTGACCAGTTCTCTGACAGGGCTTTGTGTGATTTGTCATTGCTTAATCTCTGTGACTGATTGGAAATTTTTACTTGCACTTCTGACTGTCAGCACTAACTCCATCCCTCCTCCAGCACTGGACCCATTCCTAGTGTTTCTTTTAGGCATATTCAGGTGCTAAAGGAGAGACAGGGTAGCACTCTGAAGCAAAGTCCTAGGGGCTCCTAATACAGCAAGAAACAAGAAAACTAACTCCTCCTGGGAGCAATACTGGAGTACCTCCGTGGCAGAGCAGAAGAGACCTGGAGAAAGAGAAGAAGACCTAGGGACTTTTGAAGAGTTTTCAGAGGGAATCAAAAGAAAATGATGCAGGGTAGCAGTATCTAGAGCCTGTGTCAGCCTGAGTGACGTGTCAGCTGACTTAATCCCAAGAGGGGAGAGTGCGTCCTTCCCACCGCCTGTCCCCAGCACAGCCATATTCTTTCTCCCTGTGGTTCCCTAATTGATTGCCTGTTAACGTGTAACAGATGGGAGAAAGAAATAAGTGGAAATTTCTCTCACCCTGTCATCAGCTTGCGCTGGCGACTGAGGTACCAAAATGCTTTTATTCCAAAGAGTGTGAGAGTCAAGTGTGCTGTGCCTGAGGGTGAGCAATTTCATCTATGAAGCTGAAGGCTGAACCCACAGGAGTTGGCAGCAAATAGGGCTGCAGAGGTTGGTTGAGTCAAGGAAGTGCACCGTTCCTGGGGCTCTGCTGCAGTGCACGCGATATCCAAGTATAGTCCTGAGTGCACAGGGAAAAGGATTTAAGGATCATGTAAAAGAGAAGGCGAGTGGCAAGAGCATTTACAAAAGCTGTTTATCCTGCAGCTCATATTCAGTGTTAAGCATCTAACAGACAAAGTGAAAACATCTTCACTCAGTCTGCCTAACATTGCAGAAAGCTTGCAGATGTGTATGTTATAGTATTGGATTCCCTGCTAGTATCAAAAGACTTGCCGTGATTTGGTATTTGGGAGTGGCATTAACTCAACAGCTAGAACACAGAGATGGAGTGATGACCCCCAAATTCCCCAGATGCAGTAGGTAAATTCATCATCATCCTTTTGTGGTCTCAGACCAGCCGCTTCACTTCTCTGTGCTTGAGTATTGACAGATGAAAATCTAATGAATAATATGACAGTACTTGTTCTGCTGGCCCTATGTTAGGTATGCATGCTGCCATAAAATGGGTCTAAATCTATCCTGAATTATTACACTATCTAGATACCCCTGATCATGAAGGAGAAGCTTCATGTGAATTTCCCCTTCCAACTAGCCCCCACCCCCACTACAAATTACCCCAGTCTGCCTTTGGGATTCTTTTAGCTGCATTAACTTCTGTAAAACTTGCCTATCTTGGGACAGAAGCATCTTGCAATAGCCTCTTCCCCCTCTGCTGCTGTAGCAGAGCAGTGAGAAGAGTGGACATTCAAGCTGCAGACCTCATTTGAGCATGACAGCTCTGCAACTCACTTTCCCACTTAGCCAGATGAAGCCAGCCTGTCGTGGACAACACAAGGGCTGTTGTTTTTCAAATGATGGGGAGAAGATAGGCTAAAAGCCAGCATGGACGTGGCTGGTTATCTCTAAGGTAACTAATATTGCTATGTAAGAATTTTCTGTCAGTAGGATTTTTCCAAAGAAAAGCGGAATTTTTACAAAGTCAGATTTGACCAAGAAAAATTTTAATGATAGGAAAAAGAAGACAGGAAAATCCAAACCATTTATTCAGTTCAAGATGAATTGCAGTGTTTGGTTTTGCAGAACTAAGACAGGATCACACAACATATCCTAACCTGTCCCGCGGATTGTAGGGAGTGTCACACCTATGACCTCTCTCATGTTGTGTTACATGACCCAAAAGAAAGATCAAGGCTTGGAAACCTGTGTGTCATTTCCACTTTGCAGCACTGGAAATGCTTGAGATGGAAAAGCGAAAACCTGAGACAGGATGACAGAACATGCCACTGGCCTGCAGGGCTGTTCTCTCTGAACATGTTATTTTGAACCTAAGGTCTGGACTTCCCACGCTTTGAGGCAGAGCCAGAAGTTCTGAGGTGACCTGAAGCATTTTTGGTCAGCTAGGCTGTCTGACAAAATTTTAATCATGTTTCTTTATCATTGCATGGCATCATAAGATTATATTCTAGTGGCAATCTACATTTACCTCCATGGTGCAAGTGTGCTCACATTTGCCATGGATGTCACCTGACTGTGAGTATTTTGGAATGTGCAATCTAGTGCAGATAGGAGAGAATCTGAATTTCAAGCATGTTGAAGTGTGCTGCTATTGATGCTCAAGAGAGATCTGATTTGAAACCAAAAATTTCATATTAGCTGAATGTAATGGAACAGGTATGTTACATGATAGGTATTGTGTTTTGGATGTTTCTGTATTAAAACTTTTTGAATTTCTGTTCCATGGAAATCCTAAATAATCCTTTCATCCAAATTTAGGACAAAGGCAAATTCTGGCTTTCTTACAGACTAAAAATTCTTAATCTAACTCTACTCTCTTCCTTCTCTGAATAGTTTACTCAGTAGATAGAGCATTACATGTCAATCAGATGTATTGTCATTATCTTTTATTCATCAATCATTAGAACTAGTAGGTAGTTTTTCCTCTTTTGAATATTAACTGATTGCAGTGCTGTGTAACCATATGAATCCTTTATTATTCCACATATTCATGACTATGACTACCCTTCATCTATTTTTTGTCTTCAAATGGTGAAAATTGAGGCTATTTCTAAAATGACCTATTACTATAAAATAAAAGCTTAAGTCTCAGCAAAATAAATCTGAATTAAGATTTCTCTCTCTTTGTGAATCATCTCATTGTGTGCATGGAACTCATACCCATAAGGTGATGCAACAGGACTTGCGAGGAAGGATATTGGAAGAACTGGTTACTGAAGATTTAGAGAGAAGAGAAACATTTACCATCATCTTCTGGATAGGCTAGTGGTGTATCAGGCAAAGTTCCTGCATCTGTGGATTTTCTGTTGAGTCTTTCAAGCTTCAAACCCAGTGAGTGTAGCAACAGAACTGCCTTGTTGATATGCCTTTACATCAATAAGGGGCTTAAAATGTGGATAATGCGATTCAGAAGACTTCTAGGGATTTATAACAGGCTTGTAATAAAATCCATAGTCTTCTAGGGCTTCCTGGTTGTTACGGTGCTTGGAGTGGCTCGTGGGAAGGGAGCAACAATTGAGAGAGTTTTTCATGAGCAGAAGAGCATCGCCATCCACATGCATAAAGGAAGTTTTGTGTCCCTACAGTAGCAGCTGTGGAAGCCAAGCACTTTCCTATCCTTCTGTCCTTCCCAGAAACGTGCCTACTACTTTTCAGGTGAGAGTTCACAGCTTTCCAAATACTTTTGAAGCTTAACCAGGGAAAGTGCAGTATTTCAGCATCTAGCACCTGACTGCTGCTTACTATTCACAGATCTAGTGCTTGGATTTAAAAACCATCTCCAGTGCAACCTCAGCTCTGTTAGTGTTGTGTTTTCTGTTTGCCTCAGTGCACCTCTACAGAGAACTCTGTGCAGAAGGACCTTTTCTTTGCAACTTCCGTGAAGTATTTCTTTGTCTGAAACCCTACAGATAAACTTGCTGCTGGTAGCGAGCCCCAGGGCCCATACCCAGCTTCCCTGTGCAAGCAGGAAGCTGATTTGAGTGAGGTTGTACAAAATGTCCAAGTCCTCTTTTGTGGAGCAGGAGCCAGATGTTCCACTCTGAGGAGGCAAACAGTGCTGTTGTTACACCTCTATATATTCCCTTTTCCTCTCATGGTGTCAAGAGTTCTGAAGCCTTGATGATCACATTTCTGGGTTTTTTACTGTGTTAGCCACATGAAGTAAAATTTTGGTAATTCCAAGCACTAGGGCTCATCTCACCTGCTTTTCTGAAATCTCATTTTTCCTGCAAGTGATAAACATTTGTGGGGAGCTTTGTTTTTGTTGGAGTATTTTTCTTGGGGGAGGGGGTATTTTTTTGTTTTGTGGGGTTTTCTGGGGTTTTTTTGTGTTGATTTTTTTCCTTTCCAAAAATAAGAGCTTCTATTGATATTTGTATATACTCAGGCACCTAGATCAGGGACATGTCCCTTGAAGCATAGGACAACCCTGCTGAAGATCAGGTTGCTTATTCAAGTTCCTAAATGCAGCTTTACAGGTTCAATATTTTAATTCCTTTCTTTGACAACTGGGGCTTAAAAGTAACCTTTCTTACCTCATGCAGATCACTGGAGAGATTTTCCTCTGACTTTTACAAAGTACCTCTCCTCACACCAAGACTTGGGCTATGATGTCTCATTTAGAAGGGCTAATTTAAGTGAATAGCAATAAAGAAGAAACAAGAGAGATGGGTTTTCTTCAGCAATCAGATGCTGAACATTATTTAGCTTTAAGGACTTTCTGGGTTATTTCTATCTAGTCTTTCCTGAGTTTCCTTGTAGAAAGGCTTTCTAAAAGGTTAGAATCAGTAAGCGGGGAGTAGCTTATGCCCTCAGTGCTGTACTAATTCCAACCTCAACTCTTCTGAGAAGCCCTATCCATAATTTTAGAGGGAGCTGGGTGTGACTTTACTGTGCTCCCCAAGCTCAGGGAGGCATTCTCCTCTTCCCAGTCCCTCCTGTTCCAAAGAAGTAGGGTGAATATAGGATCTGTTGAATGATCAAGGTCTGGTGTACAATTTTCAGGTGCTCCTATTATGTGTGCACTGGAAATTATGTTCCAAATTGTTTAACAGTCAAAGGTCTAATTTTGCAGAAAATAGGGTAATTTTGCAGTTCTCCAGCATAAAAAACGTGATCTATCACTTTAATAGTCCTTCACTGTTTCTTAGTATCTCTCATCTAAAGACTTTAAAGTACAGTTAAACCTTAACGAATAAAGACTTGCAATCTTCCCAGAAGGTAGCTTTGCAGATGAGCAAACTAGGACACAGAGAAGTGATTTGCCCTCCAAGGGGACATATGAAGAAATCCAAACTCTGATCCTGTCATCCATCACTTGATTTTTTAAAGCCATTTTTAGGTAAATCTTGTGCCATGGTATCAGTGAGGTTCTACCAGTTTTTTTCAGATCAAATGTAAATATTATCTAGGTAAAGGAAATCTCTCTAATAAGCAACAGCTCAAAGCAAGGCCTTTGTTGTGTTTTTTCTGACCTTTCGTTCTGGGTCACATAATCTACTGTTCATGACACACAGAGACTTGACTCAAATATTGCATAGAGAGTTGCAAGTGCACCCTTATGTGCTGACACTCTTCTGCAGGACTTTGCAGCACCCCCAGCTGCAGCAGTGAAGGGGAATCTCTCTCTCAGCCCCCTGTGCTGGCAGCTGGGCTGGTGGTGTGACCGCCAGCCACTGGGAGGTTGTTGGAATTTCGATGAGTTAATCTCATCACTTTATCACAGGGCACTTACAGAAATTACAGGGAGCTGTGAGCAGCTCACTGTGCTGGCAGCCAGCCCCAGGACCCATAAAAGAAATTGAGACACACACAAAAAAAAAAGTCAGAGAACTTTGTTAAACTTTTGGAGATGATAGTTTTTCTTGATTGAGTTCTGCTTGGGTAATGCTGATTGTGCCTCCCCTGGTCATGTTGCTGCTTCCTGCAATAATGGCAGGAATTGCCGCCAGCTGTGGCTCTCAGTCCATGCAGCACACAGCATGTTTTTGGGCCTGGTATAAAATGCCATTTACTTTGGAAGCATTGTCTTACATGAAAAGGGTACAGTGAGCCTCACCTCTAGCATTTTCTAGAGGACTCTAGAGAGGACTGTAGGATGCAGCTGCTGGTGCTTTCTTGCTTTAGACTGGGCACAGTGTTTGGAAGAGGCACATGAGCCTGTGTTCAATGCGAAGGTAAACAAGCATGCTGAATGGGATGTCCCACCAGTGCTGAGTGTATTTTTTCATATGTGCTAACCAGCAGACTATGGGGCTGCTGCACTACATGGTGACCACTGCTTTGCTGTCAGGAAGGGGTACTTGCCTAGTGCACACTCTCCTCTGGCTCTGCTCCCTTAACAGTCATGATCCCAGTACAGAAATGCCTTTGAGAACTGCTTATGCAAGCTGTGCATCCGTCATGTGTATGGTAACTAGTACCTACACATACTCTGACACTACCCCATTTAGTTGTGATATATGTTTTGTAGACCCTTTCCAGTCTACAGTAGACCAGGGCCTGGAGGCGTGAGGAAGTTGGGGGATCTACTTGACACTATGGAGGGACCTTGAGCTGCCAGATGAGGGCTGTCACTGCCTTCAGCTGCTATAAAGGCTCAGTGCCGTTGGTGTAGTGTCTCTGTGTTAAGGGACAAATGTTTGGCCTTTGGACCACAATACATGAAATCTTGTGTCTCTCTAGAACTCTCATCCTGGGTTTGGTGAGAAAGGTCAACACTGAAACAAAGGCAAATCCTTAACAAAGTGAGACTCATAGTTTTATCCCAGATTTGTTCCTGCTGTGTTCCTTCCTGTGTGGGGCACAGCAGGTATCTGATCATGAAGTCATGGCCACCGTACTCATGGGTCTGTAACGTGCTGAAACTCTGTGTCTAGAGCAGGAGTTTGTTTATTACCTTGAGATCAAGCTTGAATCTCAATGTCCAGCTCTCTGAGAATGTTGATACGTGGCTGGCTATTAAAATTCAGCTGCTGCACAATGACAGAATACAGCCTGAATGGAAGCAACTTGTGCAGCACACTGTGCTCCTGCAGACAAACTGTATTTTGAGGTAGATGAGCAGTGGTAGATGAGCAGTGGGAGTAGATGAGCAGTGGTGAAGAATGGGGTGGCTGGGCTGGAGCTTAGGGTCAAGCTGCAAGTCTTGTGACAAAAAAAGAAGCAAGAGGTAGAATGTTCATAACTAACAGGCCAATCAACAGGCTTTGGGGTTTGTGTGCTCCTGGAGTTTCACCCAGCATGGGCCAAGAATACTTAAATAAACGGTGCTTTCTTTCTATTGAATCTGTGCTCTGCTTTTCCACTCAGATTTTCAAGGGGCTTTCCAACAGCTTAGTTAGCCCCAAGATCTAATCACCACACCCAAAGATTGATATGTATCAGACTGTTGATCTGTATTTAGAGAGGGAAGGATCTTGCACTAGAATATAAAAATCCATTACAGAAGTAGGAGCAGAAATCAAGTCCTCTCCCAGTGTTACTAAACTATAAACTCTGCTTCTAATCTGATGTTTTACAAAGTCCATACTGTGTGTTGCCTCAGCTCTTACCTACACCCCTCCCTACAGCTCTGATTGAATTCCTGAATCTCAGGTTCCTGCTTCCAATCATCAGACCAACTTTTCCATTCTCCTGAATTGACTGTAGACCTTAGATACTCTTTTCCAGTGCTGCCTGATTTACCAGTATCTAAACGGTCTTAAATGTATTGCCATTGTCAATGCATCACTGCCAAGCTTAGATTTCTAGTCCAGCTCCGCAGCAAACATTGAATAGCCCTCCTCAGAAATATCACCTCAAAATGAATGGCAGGATGGAGACAGCTGTTTCTGTTTGTTGTCTTCTAGTACTAAATAATTGTTACCTTACACTGTGATCCAACATAATTCCACTTACATCCTAATATCAGACCCTTGCTCCATGTTTCAGTTACTTGTCTCCCAGTACAGTACGATTTGACTAGAAATAAATTTGGGATGCTTCTTTCCCTGTTTTGTCTTGGGGACAGTGTTGCAAGATGATCATAAACGAAAAGGGAATGAGAAGCGATAATGCACTGTGCAGAAGGATGAGAGGCAGGTGCACAAGAACTAATAAAGTAACACTGTAAAGATTTGCACAGGTAACCTATGTTCATTTTACTTCTACCTGTAGTATGTCAGCTGGCAGGAGAAAGCAAAGGAGAAAACGCTGCCTCTTATCTCCCCGGTTCCCCAAGCAAGGCAAGAAAGGACAGGTGACATCCATCCCACAGATGTGGAGCAAGACTGGCAGCAAAGGAAGTGCTGCTAATGTCTGAACTGCTCCTGCGCTCAGCCCTGGACTTCAGAGAACAGGCCAGATTATAAGGGGTGCAGACAGGGTATGATGACACACCTAGAGGACACTGTGCCTGAAAGCCTAGCACTGCAGTCAGCCCCTAGGATAGGTCAGCTGGCTATAGTCTCAGAGGATGTGTGTGTGCAAATTAGTGAGCAAATGTACAACATACACAGACTGATGGTGATGGGAATATCTGGGCACTATAGCCTGTCCCTTGCTCAGTGGGGAAAACATGATTCCTGGGTGACCATCTCTGTGTTTGATTGCAGGGAATATTGAATACAGCTGCCCGGCTACCAATGAATGTGAGATCACGAAACGGAGGCGCAAATCCTGTCAGGCCTGTCGCTTCATGAAATGCCTCAAAGTGGGGATGCTAAAAGAAGGTAAGAGAGTCAGAATGAGAATTTTTCTCTGTCCTGACAGTGCCTGGGACTCCAGGCCTTGAAGGATCTCCTAGGCTACATGCTTGCCTACTCTGGCCTTCTGAAGGTATCTTTTTACAGGCTTTGTAAAAAAGTTAGGATGGGCCGTGACGAAGAGGACAGTCTAGAGAGGAGAGTGGTTCTAGTCAGGACCATTGTGCTAGCATATTATTTCTACTACTTGCAAATTTTACAAATAACTGGAAACTGGCTGTGCCAGACTGTTTCCTTTCCCAAACTAACCCTGCACTGGAGGTTTTTGCTCTTCTTGCCCCCAGGTCATTTTTCAATGTTCAGGAGGAGAGGCTCTTTTCTGATCATGACTGGGTTACCTGGACATCATAAGGGAAGGACAGAGGTAATGCACAGCTGTGGCACCCTGTGCAATGAAGGTCGGCCCATATTACCACTCAAGAGACTTTCTGAAGATGGTTGGTAGCACAAGTTTGTCCAGGAGCTGTGGGTTGCTGCCCTGCATGATCAACTGGTGTTGTGCTCAGCCTTTTGATGTATGCAGAGGTCTCTGAGTAGTGTTCAGCTTCTCTCTTGTGCTGTTTTTCCTCCTCCTCAATCCTTGTCCATTGAAGGTGAACCATAGGGAATTCAGTGGCAATTAAATATATTCTTATAGATTGACTTTAAAGCCGCAGGTCCCCTGGGAAGAGCAGTGAGGAGGAGGAGGAAGGAGAAGCATTGCATGTAACCTAGGGAGCCCCTGGTGGTCTAGTGGTAAGGGCGCGGTGCTGTCACTGCCGAGGCCCGGGTTGGATTCCTGGTCAGGGCCACTCCCGGGCAGGTGGAGCTCGTTAGCCCTTAAAGGCCCAGCCACATCCATCCTGGGGACCTCGCTGCCACCGTACCTGGCAGAGCATGGTCCCCTCAGTTTAACCACAAGGAACAGCAGCTGGCTGTGGACTGCAGAAGTCCTGTGTGCTGGAGCCAAGACACCAGCACACAACTCTGTTCCAAGTTATAACGTCATAGCAGCTGGTGATGAATTGTACAATGTCACTTGAGTGTGTATTGCTTCTCAGTAGGACTCTCTCATTTCCTGAGGGGCAGGTTGATGGCAGCCAGTATTGTAAAGAATGTAGATTAGGTGTTAAACCAGTTTTGTTCTTTGATGGATGTGTAGTTTCTGTGGTTAAAAATCTTCCTTGTAGAGCACACCAGTTACCAAAGGACGGAGATGCAGACTTGTGTAGTTTGGGTCACCCTGACCTAGGTGTAGAGGTGGTAGACTCAGAGGATCTTGATCTGCTGCTGGGAAGGAGGCACCTACTTTGTAGTTAGAGAGGGACCACTGAAAACCTGCTTCTGTTCATACGATAGTTTAGGGAGAGGATATATCCCCTTTCCCACATGCCAATACACACTAGTGACACTGGCTTTAGTGGGAGCGCAGGTTTATAATGCCCTGTAGCCTATTCATTTGAATCCCATAAAATAACTTTAAAAGCCTGTAGTGGCTCCAGTCACTCTTCAGAGCAGCATCATGGGTCCAGTCTTGCTGGCTGCCTGTATCTGTGCTGCCCTGCATCCAAGCAGTTGTCTCTCAGAGCTGGCAACTGTGGGAGCAGAATCACAGGAGCTGGTACTGGCATGCTGACTGTGTAGCCAAGGTGTCTTTTCCTTCCAATTCTGGAAGTTCAACACACTTCAGAGCAGGGTCCTGTGAAGTTTTCATGTCTTAGCTTCCAAACTGTGGGAAAACAGTTAACTCCTTCCACACCAGAGTTAGGCTGGAAAGCAGCATAGATTCACTCACACCATGCTGTGCATGAACTCCTGAACTCTATGGGATACTACTCATGGCAAACTGAAATTTGACTCTAAGGCTGCTTTTGTGCTGAAGTGTATTTAGTTATTCATATCGAGATTGATCTGGCATCATTAACATCTCTGGGGAAGGGTGGTTTGCTATTGACGTTAGTGTATCTGTGATCCTGCCCATAATGTTTAGTGCTGTGGAATATACAGCATAAAGATTTATTGATAGCAATGGGATACAAGAGCTCATGATAATATCAAGAGGAGAATACACTAGCAATCTGCAGATAGGACTCTTCTACCCTAACACAGAGTGGTCAAGTGATGTTGGGCAGGCATCTTTTTTTCTTTCTTTTGCTCAGTATTCCAAGCTGAGAAATAAGAGTCCTACTGCTTTGTTTTGCAAAAGGATTATGAGGACCTATTAGTTAACTTTATGTGAAGCCTGGTAGAAGCACAAGGTATTAATATACAGAATTCAATCAATACACATCTTTAAAAGCCAAATCCAAGAAGGAAGAAAAATGGTTTTACATTCTTTGGTCTCCAAGGAGTGAGGAGTTTCTAGAAAGAACAAATCCACAATTGTTTGATTTGTTCAAAATGCAGAACTGACAAGGAATTTTGGATTAGAAAGGGTTCGTTGATCTTTTCCATTGCTGATCTCTCATCTTATTAGCTCATCCATCCCTTTTCTTGTGCCAAGGCACAGGTGTTCTCAGCTGTACAGCTCTAATAGTTTAACTGTTTTTAAAAATCCCCAATGTCTTGGTTTCCCCAGAGAGTCTATTCTACAGTCTCCAAGCATTCATTAGGATAAGATGTGTCTTGATATTTGAGCTATGTTTTTTTTTTTCCTTTCAGTAGTTCCCCTTCCAACTTTGCCTTGGTGTATCTCTTCATCCCTGGGTTCATCCGTGGCAGAAGGTTGCTAAGCCATGTTTTTCCTCCTGCTTGATTATCACAAGTTTGGAGGAAAATAGTTTTTTGTTTAAAGGCAAGATCTAGAAACCAGTTCTTCTCTTGACATGTTTCTCCTTGATGTTCTTGGCAGAGGGTTTGTAACTTAGTGAGGATGTTTCTGGGTCAAGAAACTGTCCTTTTGTTCAAGAAGAAAAGTGTGATATTCCATTAGTAACTGATTAAGGACTTCATGATTTCTTCTCATTTTCCTGGTTATTCTCACCATATATGATGTACATACCATCTCCTGCCTGCTGGGCATGTGGCATGAGCCTGTTCTTCAAGCAGAAGGCACCAGTACTCAAAGATGGCAAAAACAAGTAGCCATGACTTCAAGTTCTGCCTAATACTTGAAGTGCTTGGCTTGATGCTGCAGGAGGTACTTAGGTCCTCCCCTTGGGGCCTGCATATAAGGTCACCAGACATCTCTCCTCCCTACACGGGCTACAGCTAGGCAAAGAGCTGTGAATGTAGCCCTTTAAGATCTGGGGAGACTTCCTCTAACACAGAAGTACAGGTTATTCAGGCAATGCTGAGTGAATGAGGATCAGGGCAGGAAGAGAGCCAATGGAGCAATCAATAGGTGTCTCAGATATCCAGACCACTTTCTTTGAGAGAGCTCTGATCAATGTATTGCAACAAGGGAACTGCACAGACACCAGAGCTTTGCTGTCTCAGATTCTCCTGTCGTGACGCTGCGGGGCAGGCAAGACTCACTGGGGAAAGTGGCAAGCAGAACACTCTGCCCACAGAGCCCAACTGGCTCAGATGTCTGAAGTGTTGGCCTGTCTGGCTGCTTGTCTCTCTCTTTCCCCTTCCATCTGGAATGTGCCCCCAGAGAGCATTAATTAGCCCTCACTATCAGGCTCATATAGGAAGCTGCTGAATCTGGAGTCCAGGATTCCAGCAGACTCCAGTCCCAGTGCCCCTGTGGAGAGGCACTGTCCCCAGAAAACCTGTGCTCTGCTGCTCTTGGCCTTGCTGAAGTACCAGTCTGCAGGCAGTGGGAAATGAGCATCTTCACAGTTCTGTCCAGTAGAAGAGCATGTCCCGCTGCTCTGCAAAAATCAGGGAAACCTAAGCAACCTGTGATAATGCTCACTCCAGATGGAGAAGATGATACCTACATTCATGTCTGACCAGTGGGGATGGCCAGTGAAAGAAAGCATGCCCTGCAACTTGCAAGGGAGAGGTATTTTTCAGAGCTAGGCATCCTTGGTTTTGTCCACTCCATTGCCCCTCTTTGCTCCCATCACTGTCTGTCTTGTGAATACAATGATCAAATGTAGCCCTTCAACTCTGGGCTCTACAGAGTAGATCTGGATCTCTCTGGCCTTCTGGAATGATGGATAGAGAAATTTCAGCACTTTGGCAGGTCTCTTTTAAAAACTCAATATACCTTGTCAGTTTTAGGGAGAATATGCCCTTGCCATTCACGCTCTAGCCACCCATGGCCTTTCTGTTCTACAGCAATTTGTTTGTCTTCAAGAGGCAGATGTAATTTCAGATGACACATGGCTTGTGTATATGGGTTCAGAGGTTTTATTTTGGACATTGGCTGGTTAAACATGACCTCACAGCTTTGCCCTCCACACCTCTGCTGCCTCTCTAAAGTTGCAGTCCTGTGTGTCACCTTGCAGAGTGGCATTGTGACAAGGCCAGTGATGTCAGTCCTTCTCAGTGTGTCAGTGTGGTGGATTGACCTTTGCTGGCCACCAGGTGCCCACCAAGTTGTTCTCTCACTCTCCTTCCTCAGCAGGACAGAGGCAGAAAATATGCTGAGAAAGCTTATGAGTTGAGATAGTGACAGGGAGATCATTCAGCAATTATTGTCATGGGCAAAACTCAACTTAGGGAAAATTAATTTAATTTATTGCCAGTTAATAAGAAAGTAGGATATTGAGAAATAAAAACCAAACCAAAACCACTTTCCTCCCATTTCTGATTCTTCTGAGGCTCAACTCACTCATGAGACCTATCTTCTCTGCCCCAAGCAGCACAGATGAACAGTGACTGGGAGTTTGTGGTCAGTGTATCACACTTCATCTGTGCTGTTCTTTCCTCCTCACACTGTTCTCCCACTGCAGTTTGGGGTTCCTCTCACAGGATACAGTCTTTCATGAACTTCTCCAAAGTGAGTACTTCTCATAGACTGCAGTTCTTCACAAACTGCTCCATCATGGGTCCTTTCCACAGAGTACAGTCCTTCAGGAACAAACTGCTCCAGT